GTGTTTTCCTTATGAGCTTTAGAAAGGAAGAAGGAACCACTGAAGCTTGCCTGAACATAAATGAGATGCATAGAAAAAACGATGTAAATTCATATATATATATCATCTTATTTTCAGAAATTTCACAAAATGGATAGATGCTGTAATATTAATCACATATGAATACCCAACAAATGTTTGTGAGTATTCACATGCAATTTGATCCTAAAAGTTAAGAAGTCCTTTAACTATTAGGATCTCAACATACCTACTGGGCTTGCATAGTAGATTAGATGAAAACGAAGAACCATGTTAATTTATACTGGGTTTGGTTTCAGCCCAAATGGTTGGCTGTGTGGGATTTTTCTCAAATTGCCTTAGAAAGTCTGCAATGAAGTCATCTTTTCTATGGATAAAAACTATTGCATGCTTTGCCCTAATTAGTTATGATCCAAACTAATTGCATCAAATAAGCAATAAGCAGGAAAAAAAATTAATCTAGATGCATCAGAAAGGCTTTCTTATATAAAACAACAAACAGAATGATAAATGGGTTCAATCAATAGATAATATCAGTCATCCTAAAAATATGTTGAAAGATAATGATTTGTATTTCTCTGTACTTCTGCAACAAGGCACAGTTTTTTTGGAGGGGGTACAATTAACCCACTTTCTATAACCTGATAATTAAGTAGCAAGTTATGAAAAGTAGATATAGTACAAGAATGAGTAACAAATGTTAAAGACTTGCATGTGAAGCCAGAGAGTCCATCAACTTCACACGAATTCTATCTGTGACAGAACTTCTTAAGTGTATGGTGCAATATGAAGGAAGTAATCCACTGACAATTGAATAGCAAGAACTAACCAAACATTTGGAAAGATTAAATGAAAAACTGAAATTCAAAGATTACAAATTATAAGAAAATTATGATTATTCCACCAAACTTTTATTTTGTGATCACAGTGATGCTACTTCCATTATTTAGAGTCCCACAAGTCCTTGATGGTGGTCTTTTTAAAATTTATTAAGATGGAAATCAACCATTCACACTTTAATGGGTTGCACTAGTTTTTAACCAATTCTACAAGAAGTTTTATGACATCTTTGGTCTTGTGATTTTTCAAAATGCTATTAATGACAGCAGCACAACTGTCTAAGGATCTTCTCCATTCAAAGTCAATTTCACTGTTCCTTTCATTTCATAATCTCCTTTGTTTGCGGTGCAATAAAGAATTCTACTTTTCTGAAGATATTTAAAGAAACAGCACGAGTAGCATCTGGAAGAAGCTGATTCTATTTACATATTTTACAAACTGCTTCATTAAGTCCAGTCTGAAATGAAGTAGTGGAATCAGCATCTTCTAAGAATGTAACAAGAGCTTTACAGATAAGGCCCTACACAGAATGTTGTCCACTGTGGCTTATCTTTTTAGTGATTCTATGCTTCAGTAAGAATGCTCTTATATGTTCAGAAATAAAAATCACAAGTAGGTCTTCTAGGTGTCACATAAATTATAAGTTGTTTTTCCAAAGCATTTATTTGATGCTATCTTTATATACTTGCCACACACATAACAAAATGAGTCACATTGATACTTCAGACTTAATTCACATTTTCACATAAAAAAATTACTGCATTTTTCTTGTGTACTACTGGTAATGATCTAAACAAACAGGATGGTCATGTGATCAACAAGAGTAATAGATAACATCATGGAGACATGAAATAATACTTTTCCTCCAACTGAGGATTTAAGATGATTTTGCTTTTATAGTTAAAGTGTTTTGCAAAAGGAAACTCAGGAAAATTTCACTGCTGATTGCAAAAGGAAAGCTTAGAGCCAATGTGATCTTTTTGCCATTTTTAATATGCATAAGCTTTCAGAAAATGACATTAATTAACTATAACAAAAACCTAAATAGTGTTATCAATATCTTGGATCTCTGCAGAACATCTTTGTATACATGGGAGGGGAGTGGGAATCTTCACAGATACTAAAAATATAAAATCTGCTTTACAAAAACTTTTTCATTAAAAATTAATTTAAGAGCAGGACAACTCAACAACTGCTGCAAAGATTGAAAGCAATCATAAACAGTGATGGCAAAGATTCATAGATAATGGCAACAAAATAAAGATATTTATTATTCAAAATTTTGTTTTTCTTTTTTGAAAAGGAGAGGGGAGGAGAAAGGACAGAACTTTTATATTCAGCCAATACTTTCATTCAAAATTTACGTTAGTGACACCTAAGAATTGATAAAAAGAACACAGAATTTTGAATGCTTATGCAAAATTTGCATTTTCACACATAAATTCACGTTTTAGATTGAGAATCTACATTTAAACAATAAATAACATCTAAATTTTTCAAAAATGAATAGTATGAAGTTATTTTTAGTTTAGTATAGTTAATATGTCTCAAATGTATTAAGCATGCAGTTAAATAAACACAGTGAAAAAAGTGAATACAGCTGCAAGAGTTCTAATTTCAAGGGTTCCACACTGAATTTAAAGGAAAAAAAAAAAAAAAAAAAGACTGAATATTTCGTTTCTTCTCGCTGATGTTATGAATAGGTTTTCGAAACAAAATAAATAATAATAAAAAAAAAAAATAAAAAAAATCAGCATAAAAATGTAAATAGCTCTACCTTAGTTATCAATAAATATGATTTACAATTAAAATTATTATCATCAAATAAATAATAATCTCAGAGGTGAAACCCTTCATTAGGCATCACTGAAAAATAAGAAATTCAATGAAAATAAAATAATTAAATAAGACAAGTATTATTTTAAATGTAAACCGAACACAATTTTTTTAATAATTTACATTCATTCTAAAAAAGAAATTTATTAATCATTTTAGAATTGTGTTCAAGAGAAACAATTTATTGGAATGCCTACTGATTTTGCTTGGAAGATCTCAATACTTCAATTTAACTGAAAGCTTAAAGAAGCAGGTATACACTGTACAGTTGCAACTACACATAGATTTTTTTTTCAATAAATACACTGACTGCAAATAATAATAATAATCAAAAAAAAAACAAGAATGTGTTCTGATATGAAACTGAAGAAAAAAATCTGATGAAAATATGTTTAAGGTTATACTACGAGGGCTATCCAGAAAGTAGATTACGTTTTGGAATAAAAAAATAAACAAAGTATAGGAAACAAATTTTATTATATACAGATGAAAGCCACACTCAAATACTACTTTTCTACATAGTCACCATACAAATTAAGGCATTTATCGTAGCGATGTACGAGCTTGGAAATTCCTTCGTCGAAAAATTCGGCCGCCTGCGCCTTCAACCACTTCGTTACCTCTTCTTGCAGCTGTGCGTCGTCATCAAAACGCTGCATAGCCAGCCACTTCTTCATTGCTGGGAATAGGTGGAAGTCGCTCGGTGCCAGGTCGGGACTGTACGGCGGATGAGGAAACAACTCCCACTTAAAAGATTCAAGAACTTTACGAGTGACATTTGCCGTGTGGGGCCGGGCGTTGTCGTGAATCAACAAGATCTTAGAGCTCAACATTCCTCTGCGCTTGTTTTGAATTGCTCTTCTGAGTTTTTGGAGAGTTTGGCAATACCTTTGAGAGTTTATTGTAGTGCCTCTTTCCAGGAAGTCCACCAAAATTACACCTTTTCTGTCCCAAAAAGCAGTCGCCATCATCTTCCTTGCCGACATTGTTTGCATGCATTTCTTGGGTTTTTGGGGAGAACTTGTGTGCCCCCACTGCATTGATTGCAATTTCGTTTCACAGTTCACATGTTTCACCCATGTTTTGTCACCAGTAACGATGCGATCGAGTAAAGAGTCACCATCCTTATGGTAAGCGTCCAAAAAGTTCAACGCTGCAGCCATTCACTGATTTTTGTGGTCCTCTGTCAAGATTTTTGGAATCCATCTTGCACAAAACTTGTGGTAACCAAGCTTTTCGCTGATGATTTCGTGCAACAAACTTCGCGAAATTTGTGGAAAACTCAAAGAAAGTTCCGTTATTGTGAAATTTCGATTTTCACGGACTTTAGCATCGACTTTTTCGAGAAGTTCGGCGGTCACTATGCTGGGTCTCCCACTTCGATCTTCGTCGTGAACATTGGTTCGGCCATTTTGAAATCTTATGACCCACTGACGCACTCCACCTTCAGTGATAATGTTGTCCCCATACACTTCACGAAGCTGCCGATAGATTTCTATCGGTTTACAGTTTTTTGCAGTCAGAAACCTTATTACTGAGCGCACCTCGCAGCTCGCGGGATTTTCAATTAACGCAGACATTTCAAACCGTCACAGTATCTGAACGGAGCACAGCACGAACCTCTCACTAGCACGGCTAGATGCAGACTGAGCTGCACAACGCTCTGACCCCAAGATGGCCGCGCTAGCCCCGCCCCTAGCGGACATAGACGGAAACGTAATCTACTTCCTGGATGGCCCTCGTATCTATTTCATCATTTGTTCTCATAAAACTCACCCTTATACACTTCATACATAAATCTATAAAAAATGTGTTCTTTTAGATGTTTATAATATGTATAAAATCCATAATGCTTTATGTTGTATACATATTGATACAGGTACTGAAAGATGAATGATGCATTTTGCAAACATGTTTTGATATATATCTACACACATACAAGTGCTCCCCACTTTATGAACTTTTGCAGATATGGAAAAACTATTTCTTAAATAGTAAAATTTGCTCAATAAATGGCTGCGCATGATACCATACAGTGCCATTGTCTTATTTATGATGAAAGAAAAGAAAATTCATTCAGGCAAGTTTAGACTCTTTTTTTTCTTTTTTAAGAAACATACTTCAGAAATCAGTGTTGCTGAATCATATAACATGTCAACTCCTTCCAACTGTCATACTGGCTTCTCACAGAAATGTCCCCTTTACTTCTAAACAGAAGGCGGGTCAGACTCATTTTTCACCCAAGTAAAGATCTACTAGTCTTGTCTTTATCCCATCCAAACATGCCTCAAAGATGACAATTCAAGATACATACTGTAATTCTTTATTTACATGTAATTTTTTACTTCTAATGTTCTGTATTTAAATTGAAAATTTATTATTTATTTATTTTAGCATTTCAACTAATAGTATTTATAACTCTTATATTATGAACATTCTTAGGATACATTTGCAGCAAACCAAAGACATTTTACAAACAAATTCATAGTACAAACAGTCATTCAGAAAGTAACTCATTCATAAGAAGGGGAATGTAAGTACTGTATCATGAAAGAGCCAATGTATTGCTCTTTCTAAAAATGTTCTTAGTTAAACATTTTCTTCCACTGTAAAAACACAATATCTAATACATATAGCATAATACAAAATATAAATTAATTAATGTTTATACTATCATTAAGGCTTCCAGTCAGCAACAGAACAATAATAGTAACATAAGGAGGAGGCAAAAAGTTACATGCAGATTTTGGATTTTGTAAGGTTTTTGACATTATTAACACCAAAAATATTCATGTCATCTGTAATATATAGCATAAATAAAATAAATTTTCTCCATAACTCTTCTGCATTACTTATCTTTTAAGATATGCAAACAAAGTATGCACATCTTAAAAGTACAAAAGTCTAAAAAGACTATTATATTAAACAACAAAACACACATTTATTTATCTTTTTTGTTATTTATATGGAATGAAGGCCATGTCTGTCTAATACCATATTATATAAGTGTTACTAAGGACTAAATAATAACTGTAATAAACATTAATGCCTTTTTTTGATTTTGAAGTAATGTTTCAGGAGCAGGCCCAGCTCAGAATTTTTTGCACCTTAAGCGATTTGTATACTTGCCATCCTACATATATTAAATGCATTTATCACAAAGCCAAATATACTTTTATTTAGTTGCCCCTAGTGGAAACAACTTAGCTACCACCATTTGAAAATAGACACCCCACGCAACTGCCTGTGTCGCCAATATATAAAGCCAGACAGCATTAAAAAAATGGAAAAATTTAGCGAAATAATATCTATCTTATTATTGATAACTGAATTTTCACATCAAACAGTGGTTACCCTGGTTGAAAACTTTCCTCAAAAAGCCATTTTACATCGTAATTGAACATATCAAGAAATAACAACACTAAGTTAGCAGTAAGAAAGGAATTGGACAATGACATATCAAAATTAAGCTCACAGCACAAGAATAACTGAGCATTTCTTGAAATGTTGAGAGGTAACAGCTTAAAAATTAATAATATCAGTTATTTTCTTATCTAGTAATTATAGCATGAAGTTCCATTATTAAAAAATCTCACTACAAAATGACATACATTCATTACAAACAAAGCTGTTTAAATTACAACAGATGTATTTTTAACCTTAAAAGACATAAGACCTTTCCTCAAAAGTATGAGATTTAGCATAAGTGGTACCACATATGTAATCTGTATGTTTCAAATAATCATTAAAAAAATTTCTAAAAATATATGAATATTAACTAAATATTTCAACAATTGGTAGCAGTTTTGTTTTTATAACTTAATAAAATCTGCTTTTGATAATGCACAAAAATAATGTTCTGAATTATTCTATAAAATAACATAGCAGATTTCACTGGAGCAATATAAGTACACATCACATTCTGACTAGAGAAATGAGATAATTACATTTTCATGCAACAAATGCAGAAATTAGACAAAGTCTGAATCATGTATAGTAATTCAATTTTAAGAACTGGAATATTATAATAAAATAAATAAATAATCAGCTATCTGATGTTGAAGTAGATGCAGATGTTGGTGAACTTCCTCTGCTGCCAGAACTACTGGCAACTGTAGTACTTATGTCAGGAGCTTGCAGATTGTATGCTGAAGTATTCTCCTTTTCATCTTGTTCTTCTTCTTCATCAAGAATATTAAATACACTACTGCATGCTGAAATAAAAATAACGGTAAAGACATATATAAATTATATATGAATAATAAAGATATATATATACTATACATATATATATGTGTGTGCATGTGTGCACAAGATAAAAACTATATAATCAAAATTACAATTTAAATTACCCCTTAATTCCCCTCTCCCTATTCTAGAAATCGTAATAATTTTCCCGAACTGTGTCATTTCTAGATCAGTCTATGTTGCATGAATTGTATAATGCTGATGACGCAGCTAATTCGAAACCTGAACTCAAAATTTTGAGAATTGAAACCTTTCTAACCTACATCAAAACCTTCTCTTGATGAGCCTTCATACTGGATAACTGTGCACTTTTGCTTCAGCTATCTTGCATTCAAGATGCTACTTCACTCCCTTTGCTTTGCCGTGCTGTTAACTAAGCCATTATCTAAAATGTGTGATACTCTATAAAAAAACTATGGGGTGCATATTGCACCCTTGATTATGTTGATGAAAAATATGTTTTCGATCATTAGTTTGTGCCCGGTAAAAAGAAATTATATTCTATTCGGCCATGTCTGTCTGCAAGTCTTTCCTTCAAGTGTCATCTTTTTAACTACATAGTAAAATCTCTCCACGTTACAACACACAGAACAATTGTCAATCCATTGCAGCTTTCCTCAAGTCATCATATTACATACATATATATATATATATATATATATATTTCCTTTATTCATTTTAATTGGCAACGAATTGAACTACAATAATTATCATAAACATATTTCAAACAAACACATGTTGAAAAAAGCTTCAACTTTCACAGTCCTATTGCCTTATTAATAATCCTATATTCGCAGACATATATTTACATGCACAACAGATAAATAAAACATCATGGGAGATTCTCTCAAAATTTAATTGGTTCTCTTTTATATAAACCCCACCAGCAACCGAGTGTTTAACACCACTTCATGCTCAGAAATTAACCTGGGTTCCGTCCCAGGTAATAACCTATTTGTTGATATAAACAAATAGTCTATTTGTTCACTTATAACAAATAAAACATAGGAGCTGCAAAATGCATTTATACAGTGGTTTAATGAAGTCAAGAGTTTCTAATCACTCAGTCAGGTATGTATTACTATAATTGAAAGGTACACATGCTTTCAAACTAAAAAAGATATCTTTTCATCATATTTTTGAATAACCTTTTTATTATAATTTTGATTAAAGGCGTTTTTTAATAGAAAAGATATGGAATAATTAATCACATCTTAAATGGTGAAACATTGTTTAGTATCCATTAACTAATATTTAAAAAATGGTCTACGCATCACTGTGTGAGCCCTTCTCAAGCATGAGTTAACAGTCACCTGGTGATTGAAAGCAAAAAATAATAGAAACTTATTCACCAGGTTGGCATTTTCAGATATAAATTATTCTGAAAGTGTAAGGTGTGCAGTGAACTTGGGTAGCTTGTTTCAATTTCTGATGTAGGTCACACTATGGCGAATGTGACTAAAATATTAACTATAAATATAAAGATTTGTGAAAAATAAAGAAGTATAACTTATGAAGGAGTTTTATTCAGTGCCAAAATGAAATTGAGATCCAGGATCTTCCGTGGTTTTTTTTTTTTTTTTTTTTTTTTTTTTTTGGGGGGGGGGGGGGTTGCTCTAAACCCCTGAAAAGATCTTTAGATTATACTTAAAATTGCAAATCAAAAGTAAGAACGGAATATGGCATTATGGTAAATACTAAATTTATTTGCAAATTCTGTTTCAAGTATTTTGATCTCCTGAAATTATCTGCAAATCACAGAAGCTTTAACAAAACCTAGGAAGAAACATGAGATAATTTTCAAATAATTTAATTCATATTTGTACAAAAATATAACAGTTACTGGTATATGAACAAAAATGAAATTATGCTCTTAAAAGTTAACAATATGCAATTAATTAAAAAGAAATTTCTTGACAAAGAGATTGATGCTCTAATTACTGACAAAAAGGTTTATAAAGAAGAAATAAATTGTTTTGAAGAATACAGTAAAAAATTATTTATTATAAAGCGTCCAATTGTTTAAAATCCTATGAAGATAAGCAAAATGGGTCAATTTCAAATATTGGGAATTCAAGTAATGTTTCTGCAACTGCTGGAACAAAGCTACTGAAACTTACAATTTAAAATTTTCTGTAATTTTACAATGCATTTAAGAATGACTTTAGTTTAAATCTAACATTATCAAAAATAGAAATGTCTTTATTAACCATGCTAGTTCTCAACTGTGTGGCTAGGTAAACATAATGAAATTACGATGAGGATCTTCAGGAACTACAGGAAAGATATAGATGTAAAAAATCTACTAATTATCAGTTATACAAACAAACTCGAATGTCATGAAGCAATGCTGCTTGTAAATAATCCCAAATCTGCAAAGAATGTGGAGGCAGTAAATAAAAGCCAAATGTATTGCTGAGAAAGAAATACTTAAAGTTAAAAATAATAGTCAGGCAAACACTACTTTTAGTAAAACACTTTAATGAACCTGAAACTATGAAATGTTTTATATCATGTATATTTTTCATTATTCTGAGGTTACGGACCTCTTTTTTTAGTATCATCTCTCCCACCCATTAACTTTAGGAGAAACAACAGAGAAAAACACTGAAAAGAGAAGTAGCTCTCATTTAGCTTATCAGTGTGAATCTAAAGTAAACCCTTATAAAAGTTGTAATTATTTTGCTTCCAAAAAGAACTACTGAATAGTCATCTCAAAACTGAAACTGTAGCATCTACTTCTCAGTATTATATCTCTAAAACTAAAGAGTCTGTTTTATTTCAGACTCATGTTGTTAGTAAGCAATACAAATTTAATGCAATCAAAATTAGTTACACTTTTAATTAACTCAGGAAGTGAAAGAAGTTTCAGCACAAAAGATTTGCTTCAAAAATTGAAATTATAAGCTAGAAAAGAACACTTAGCAATCTACATGCTTGATGTATATAGTAGTAAAGAATTAGACATGAAAGTATTTAGAATCTCATTAAAAAGTAAAGAGATCACCCAGGTAATACAGTAACTGAAGTTATCGCTATGGGTGCAATTTCAGCAACTAAATTTCAAATTAATAATAATGCAAGTATAAAGAAATTTATAATTCAATATGGTTGGGAACTTGTTGAGTCAAGCACAAGTGATAAAGATATTAAATATTTTATTGGGGCTGATTATTTCTGGCATATACAAAGTGGAATAGTTGACAAAAATAAATTACTGCTTAGTCACATGCACAATATTTCGATATACAATTATAGAACAAACTGAACTAGAAAAAACTGCAAAAATACTTCTTTATTCCTACTAAGGCACTTAGTGATACAAGTTCTGAATCATTCTTAAGTGTTAAGAAAATTTGAAGCAGAAGGTCTCAGATATATTTTCTGATGGAGGTATGAATTATGCAGGAGCTGATGAAGAATTCAGAAAAATAGTAAAATCACATTTGTCAAGTGAAAACTTTTAGAATTAGCTTACAGAAAAAAATATTATTTGGAATTTTAACCTATTCCAGCCTCACCAAGGCTACCAAAATTAAAAAGGCCTGGCATAAAGCAAATGAAGATTCAACTTAAAATAACTGTTGTTACAGATTTTAACTTAAAAGATTTTGGTATTTCAATAACTCAAGTGGAATTGTGTTTAAATTTAAGGCTAATTGTAGCTCTCTCTAATGATCTGGCAACATGAATACTCTTACACTTGGTCATTTCATCAGAGGAACTGCTTTGAATTCCATACCTAGTTATGATGGAGCAACTTCTACAATTATTTCATTGAGCAGTGAAGATTAATTCAAGATCTTTTCCGAAGTTTCTGGAAATGTTGGTTCAAATTATCTCTTGAAATTACAACAAAAACTAAAATGGGTGAAAGATAAACCAAACATAAAAGTGGACAATTTAGTGTTAATAAAAGATTAAATTCTGGTAACCTTGACAAACGAAAACTTGGCAGAATTACTGAAATCTATCCAGTACTGATGGAAAGGTCCAGGGCAGCAAAATTTTAAACTTCCACAGGTGAACTAAAACACCCTATAACAAAATAGTCTCCACTGCTAATAATTTATAAGAACTGTACTCTGATATTATGTATTAATTTTTTTCTCCTCTTTTTTTTTTTTTTATTTTGAACTTTACATTTTTTTTGTCAAATTTATTAAAATTGTAGCATTTTCAAAATTTAGAATTTTTACTTTAGCATTAATCAATAACATAATTTCATTTTATTTTTGCATACAAAATTTGCAAGAACTATCATGGCGATGGATATTTAGTATTCAATGATTAATATTTAAAAAAATCTTCAAGGCATCACTGCATGAGTTGACAGTTATGTGGTCATGAAAGATAAAATAATTGAAAAAATCTGCCAGGTTGGTGTCTCAGATATAAATTATTCTGAAAATGAACTTTGGTAGCATGCAAACTTCAGGTAATGTTCCTACAAACTTTTTTTTTTTTTTTTTTTTTTTTTTTTTTTTCTGCTGATCATTGGCAAACATACTTTTAGTGACAGAAGTTTTAATATCCAGTCACAAGAAGTGGAAAAAATTCCATTAATCATTTTATTGCGGTGTTTTCTAGCTTAAATTTAACCTACAAAGTGATTTTGTAGCTTCAGAGTATCAACAACTTAAAGTGAATCTCGGTGGTTATAGGAAAAAAACTAACTTTTTCAATTTATTTATCATGTGTTAATATGATTGCAAAATGCTTATTAACCATTTTATGTTTTTATGTGTTGACTTACCTTCATAGTGCAACTAAAAGTATTTAGAGAATATAAAATTGCTAATAATTTATTGTTTTGAAATTTGAACATGCAGTACTGTTTTCTTTTATTAAAATTTTAAAAATGCAATACTGTTTGTTTTATGGATATAACAAAATTGTATGCTATTAGAAATTTAAATTTAAATAATTATTTAGAACTAAGATTTTAAATTGTATTCAAAAAGGG